GCCATGCTGCGAGTGCTACGGGCCGGCCTGCTGCGGCCGCGGCTGCCGCACCAACACCAGCAGCAGGTACCGGCCGCCGCCATTTCGTGAGGGGCGGCCGCGGGGCGGGACAGCGCGGCGGCGCCCTGAGGAGGAGACCGCGGGGGACGCGGCCCTGAGGGGCCCGGCGAAGCCTGTGAGGGCCGAGCTCCTCCCGGCCCTGGGGCCAAAGTGACCGCGGGGAGGCCGGACACAAGATGTCGGGTTTTCCCCGGCCCCAGGGCGGCGGGAGGAGGGGACAGACCCCTCCGAAAGCACGGCGGGAAAACGCGGGTGGAATGAATTGGAGGAAAGATGGGGAATACCGGGAACGTGTGGCGGAATTGGAGTGTGGGACACGGCGTGGAGGGGTTGCCTGGTGAGGGGCAGGGCACTGAGGTGACCCCGTGGGAGCGTGGGAAGGCCTTTTTTGCTTTAAATGACCAATTTGCCGTAGATCGAGTGGAAGCCATAGAAAAGTGGTTTGACTGGAAGGTCATTTGTCAGTACAGCATGCTATGTTTGATCTGCTCCCAGCTAAAACAGCGCTTTTCTCCCACCTTTCAGTTTCTCCTGAACTCCTGCAGGCACTGCTCCTCGGGAGTCCTTCCCAATGAGAGGATCCGCAACATCGGCATCTCGGCCCACATCGACTCGGGGAAGACGACGTTAACGGAGCGAATCCTCTTCTATACGGGCAGGATAGCCCAAATGCACGAGGTGGGTTTTTGAGAGGAGTCCAGAGCAGAGCTGCTCTTCGTGGGCCGAGCGTGCTGGGAGCCATCGCAACGCTGCTGTGACTCCTTTGAACGCAGGGTGTAGTGCATGGGGTGAGGGAGCTGAGCGCTCAGTGAGGCTCTTCTGGCCAGGCTGGAGAAGGAATCCTAAAAATCTGGTGGTTTCCCCTATAACCTTTTAAAAATAAGTGAATGGCAAGGGAATAGAAGGTAACCCCCCCTTTACTGCAGCATTCTTTCTATTTCAAAGCACTTCACATCTTCTTTCAAGACTTACTTCTCCCTTGCCAGCTCCATAGTAAATATACAATGGAAGATAGATGTTTCTTTTGAGGTAGTCAAAGGTGACTCTGAAAAACAGAGAACACAGGGATGCAATTTTTAGCTACAAGTATGTTAGCTTGTTAATTTCACAGTGAAGCGTGATTTGCCTCAGATTTCTGATAACCTTTTTCAGGAATGATCCCCGGGAGAGGAAAATACATTAAAGTTGCAGGTACAGCTGCAGAAAAAATCAAACTTGTTGGTAGTTTGAGAATTACAAACGATTCTGCCATACCTGCTTTTCTTCACTGCATGAAAGATAATGCGCAGTATATAAAGCATCGCTCCCGCACATGCAAAATTCTTACTAATCTCCCTTAGACTAAATTTTTAGGTACAGCTGCAGAAAAAATCAAACTTGTTTGTAGTTTGAGAATTACAAGCGATTCTGCCATACCTGCTTTTCTTTACTGCATGAAAGATAATATGCAGTATATAAAGCATCACTCCTGCCTATGCAGAATTCTTACTAATCTCCCTTAGACTAAGTTTTTTCTTTTTCTCTTCCTTTTTTTTTCTGTTTTTCCTAAGGTGAAAGGTAAGGATGGAGTTGGAGCTGTCATGGATTCAATGGAGCTCGAGCGACAGCGTGGAATCACAATTCAGTCTGCAGCAACATACACCATGTGGAAAGACACCAACATCAACATCATAGATACACCAGGTAATGACAATTCTGAACACGTTAAGATTGCTGTTCCTTCATGCATACAAAGAGCACGGTGCCTTCTTTGTCTTCATTAGTCACTCAAGCTGAGCTAAGAGGATTCTGTAGCTAGAGTCTGCTTCTGTTGGCTGTTTCTCTTTTCTACAACAATGAAGCTTATTACTTTTTATCACCTATGAATTACTGGGTGGTTTTTTTTTTTGTTACTCAGGACATGTGGACTTCACAATTGAAGTGGAGAGGTCTTTGAGAGTTCTCGATGGAGCTATTCTGGTTCTCTGTGCTGTTGGAGGAGTTCAGTGCCAGACAATAACTGTGAACAGGCAAATGAAACGTTATGGTGTGCCATTTTTAACATTAATCAATAAACTGGACAGAATGGGCTCTAGTCCAACCAGAGCTGTACAGCAATTGAGGTATTTATCACTTAAAATTATTTGTGAAATAATTCTGAATTATTCATGTAGCAGATTATTGCTAATAATATTGAAAAGCATTCTCTTATGGGGTCTGTAGTCGCAGTTTTGGAGGATAATACCTGATTTGAGGTTAAATCTTAATCTGGTCTATAACAAGTCTCCATTTTCTCAGGAAAAACAAGTGTTAGTGTCAGCCCAGGCTTGCTGTGATCGAGAGTTGTGGGTTTGATATTTATTTTGTTGATGGAACTATATTTGTAGCCACTTTGAAAACAGCCTTTTCATTTCCCCTAGGTCCTGGTAGCAAATGTGCTGTAGCCCACAGCAGGGAGATGACATAGGGCTGGATGGTTTCTAATTTGGATATCAGAAGTCCTGCTTGCTCCCTACCTGCAGTCTTTCTGTGGCTAATTTTATCTGTGAGATAAATGCATTAATATGCATTAAGGGAGCAGCAGCTCCCATAATCAAATAATTAATCTGAAACCAGTTTGCACTGCCTTCTTTCCCATGAAAGTTGCTCGCTGTGTCTGTTGGGATGCAGAGGGCTGGCAGGCGCTCAGGTTGAAATCCAACTAGGCATTTTTCATTGGCATGGGTAGATTTTTGGCAGTGTCTAAAGAACAAAAGATAGTGATATTGTCGGAATGGTAGATTGTTCAAAGACCATCTGGAGCACATATATAGAAATGACTTTTCTCTTGAACTAATTTTTTATTTGCTCACTTTTTCAGATCCAAGTTAAAACACAATGCGGCTTTTGTTCAGATTCCAATGGGATTGGAGGGAAACTTTAAAGGAGTTATAGATCTTATTGAAGAAAGAGCTATATATTTTGATGGTGCACTTGGGTAAGTTTTGAAACTTGCATATTTCTTACCTGGAGCTACTCTTTGTATGAGTGATGCTGCCTATGGTTTCTCTTCAGAGGTGAAAGACCCTGCTCTTTGGGAAGTTAGGGAAGTGGCTTGTGCTAGGGCTGAGGTATCACCCTTCAGCTTTCCAGGTTACAGCAGAATGACTCTGTGGGGTCAGGTTTAGTGATGGGTAGCTGCAGCATGAATTGTTGGCTGCCTGCAGTGGTGTGAAGGGGTGGTAGCCACACTTGCCACCCTGAGAAATAGGAGACTTGCTTCATAACGGGAGCTGATAGTGTATTTTTGTTGTGAGCTTACCGGGATGAAGATAAG